TAATAATAAAGCTTTATACCTTATAGCCTTTTACTTAAAGAAATTATATAGTATAAAACTTAATTACTTTATTTATAATAAAGAGTTTATAGCTATTATATATATATTTAAGGAATTTAAGTATTATTACTTAGGAATAATATATAAGATTAAGATATATATAAATTATAAGAATATTTAGTATTTTACTATAATTTAATAATTAAATAGAAGATAAATATTATATTAAATACTTATTTTAATTTAATTATAAGATTATATATTAAAAAGGATTAGAAAATAAAAGAGCTAATACTTTTAATTAAAAAATAAAATATAAAGAAATAATATTAAAAATAAATAAATAATTATTTTTAATAAATAATAAGAGATATTTAATATAAAAATCCCTTAAAGTTATATTTAAGGAAATAGTATATACTAAAGTCTAAATAGAAACTATTTTTAGCTTAAAGAAGTTATAATAAGAGGTAAAGATAATACTTATTAAAGAAATCTATAAGTATTTACTCTTAAAATATTAAGGAGTTAAGAAAATACTTAATAAAATTAAATAATATTATAATTACCTAGATCTATAAAAAGAAGTATAAACTATAGTTTTAGAATATAATATTTATATAAAAATTAAGTTTATATAATATAAACTATATAGAGAACTTAAATTAATCTTAATATTAAAATAACTATAGTAATTAATATCCTTTAATTATATTATAAAATTACTAAAATCTAAAGAATTAATAACTAAAATAAAATATAATAATATCTTAATAATTATTAATAAACTTATAAAATATAAATATTTTATATTATATAAAAAAGTAAATTCTATAAAAGACTTTATATATTAATTCCTATAATATATAATTAATTATTATAAACTACTTAATAAAATAATATTAAATAAAGGAATAATATTTACCTTTAAATTCTAATAATTACTTATAGTATAAATAAATATAAAGTATAAGCTCTTAATAGTTTATTATTTATAAAGTAATAAATAAATAGAATATTTAAATTAAATATTAAAATAATATCTATAGTATATATTAATTATAAATAGAATAATTAAATATAATTATTACTTATAATATAAATTATATATAATATAATATAGGAATTAACCTAATTATTATTAATATATATAAACTATAATTATAGGGGGGGTATAAGGATAGGTATATATTTATCTATCTATCTCTCTTCCTTCCTTCCTTCCTCCTCTCCTCTCTAGTTATATATATTCTATTAACCTAGGCAACCTTAGTAGCTATCTTTATAATAATAGTTAAAGGTTATAATAATTATAATTACTATTTTATATTAATATATACTTTAGGATTAAAAAGGTTAACTAATAAAAGTATATTTAATAATTATAATCTAATTATCTAAATCCTCCTCTTTAAAGGAGTTAGTTCTATTAAGAATATAACTATTAAAGTTAAATAAGTTAGCTAACTACTTAAGATTAAAGTCTTAAAGTACCTTAATCTTTAATAACCCTATAGCTTTAATAATACCTATAAGCTTATAGTTACTTATATCTATATTAAGAAACCTAGAGATTAATAAGTTATATAGCTACTTATCCTTAATAATAGGTATTAATACCTCTAGTAGCTTATACTTTAGTATCTTAATATATCCTTTAAAATATTTATATTAATATTAAGATTTAATATACTTATAGTTAGTTAAGTTTAGAGTAAATTAAGTAAGATTAATAGTAAGTATAGGCTTAGTAGGATATTTAAGACTTAAGTATATTAAAGTAATAAAGGTAGTAATATATAAAGTAGTAAAGGTAGTAATATATTAAGCTTTAATAAGTAGTTAAATTATCTATAAGTAGTAATTATAAATAGATTATTAATATAGACTTAAGCTATATAGTTCTATTAGGTATATTTATAGTAGCTAGAGATAGTAGCCTTTAAATAGATAGAAAGTAGTATTTTAAGGTTTATAAAAGGAGTTATATTAATAAAAGACTTATATTTAAGATATAAGCTATTATTAATATTAAACCTTATATATAGCTAGGTATAAGCCTTATAGCTAGATAAAAAGGCTAAAGTTTAATATATTATAATACTAGGTATAATATTAAGTTATTTAATTCTTAATATTTAGGAATTTCCCTTTTTTTTTTAATAGCTACTATATAACTATATAGCTCTCTTACTTATTATTATTACTACTATAATTATAAACTAAAGTTCTTAAGTAAACTAGAACTTAATAAATCTATAATACTTATTACTATACTTATAAAAGAAATATTATACTTATTATATATAGAAATATAAGAAGAATTAAAGTTTATATAATAAAAAATAAAGAAATACTATAATAAAATAAAATTAAAGAGATTAATTTTAAAGGAGAGAGATAAAGTTTATTTACTTTAAAAAAATATTATAATAATAAAGTTAAATAATAAATTAAATTATAAAAAACTTAAACTATTTAAAATTAAAAATAAAAAATTAAATATTAACTATAAACTATTATTACTAAATATAATATATATTTACTTAGTTTTTTATATATTATTACTTAAAAAAGTATTAGAAAATATATTAAATTAAGATTACTTAATTAAAATCTATAAAGAAAAATTTAAATTAGAAAGAATCTTAAAGAAAGAAGTTAAAAATAAATAAATATTCTATTTAATAAAATAAAAAAGTTATAATAAAAATAATAATATATAAGAACTTATTAAATATTTAAAGAATTATTAATATTTAATATATTAATTCTATTAAGAAAAAAAGAAATAATAACCTTACTTTAAGTAGTAATCTTAAAAGAATTAGCTTATATAGTATTTTAATTAATAACCTTAATAATACTCTATAATTAAGCTTTAGTAATTACCTTAGACTTTTAGTATTTTAACTTTTCTAACTTATTTAATAAACCCTTTCTTTTATAAAGTATTTTTAAACTCTATTTATAAATTTATTATTTTTAATAATATAATTATATTAGTTTATTTAAAGCTTTATTTATTTTAACTTATACTTTTAAAAAATACTTCTTAATAATACCTTCTTCTTACTTTAAGTAATAATATTTATTTATAATATAATATATTAAATAAATAAATAAAAGGAAACTAAAAAGGGAAAAAATATATAACTTCTTACTAAATAATATTATAATACCTAAATAATTATAAAAGTAACTATAATAAGTATATTTAAGATAATACTCCTTTATATTAAGTATAGCTTAATAATAAAAACTATTCTTTAAATAAAAAGAATAAAATATAATATTTATATTAAATTCCTTAATTAATAAAGCTTTAGCTTTATAATAATTAGTAAAAGAGACCTTCTTTTTAGCTATAGTAATTAATAAGATATAAAATATATAATAAATAAAGGAAGGAGTTCTACTTAAGCTATAGAATATAGTTTTAAGGATAAAATTAATAAGGAGAGAGTAATATATTATACCTTAATTATAGGTTATTTTATATCTATATTATATAATATACTTAAATATTAAGAATAATACTTAGGACTAAGTATTAATACTTATTACTAAGTATACTATACTTAGTACTAATTAAGATATATAAATATTAAGTACTTTAGTATATATATATATTTATTCCTTAAATAGAAATACTCTCTAAATAGTTATTAATATAATTATTTATATATTTATTATTACTAGCTTTATAATACTTATATATTAATAGTAACTTATATTATATAGCTTATAATAATCTAATTATATTACTTAAAATAATACTTTAATTAGTTTATCTCTAACCTACTTTAAACCCTATTTAATATAAATTAACTAACTATTATAATATAGCTTAATCTTAGGACTAAATAACCTTTATTTATAGTAAGAAAAAAAAAAAAAAAACTATTATAATTATATTATAAATAAAGATTATTTTAAGCTATATAAGATTATATATAAAGTAAATAAGTAATTTACTTTAGTATTTAATATAAAAGTAATTTTACTTTAGTAAAGTAAAGTTTAAGATAAAGCTTTAAATAAAGATAAATATAAAGTTCTTAGTAAACTTTATTATATATATATATATTTATTTTTAAATAAAAAATACTCTTTTAAATAATTATTAATATAATTATTATTACTTTTATTAAAACTAGCTCCTTAGTAGTTATATATTAATAATAATTTATATAGTATTAAGATAACTTAATTATATTACTTAGAATAATACTTTAATTAATTTAATTTTAATTTATCTTAGACTCTATTTAGTATAAGTTTATTAACTATTATAATAACTTTATTATTATAAAAAGCTTTTTAATTAAATATAAGCTTAAGGATTTTATATATATTAAAATTAACTCTCTTAAGTTATTTATAATTAAAACTAATATATCTTTTAAAAGCTTATTATTTACTTTAATAATTAAGCTTTTATTAATAGAGATATAAGTATTAAATAATAATATTTTATTATTATTATTATTATTATTATTATTATTATTATTATTATTATTATTATTATTATTATTATTATTATTATTATTATTATTATATAGGAAAGTAATTATAATTAATAATAATAAGTATCCTCTTTTAAAGCTATAACTAATTTATATATTAATTAGCTTTTATTAAAGTTTTTAATAAAATATTAATATTATACTTAAGTTAAATATATAAATATTTAAGTTTTTATAATATTAAAGGTTTAAGTATAAGCTATAAATTATATTTTAAAAATTATATATAATAATTATATATATAGCTTAATCTTAAGATTAAATAACTTTTATTTATAGTAAGAAAAAATAAATAAATAGCTTAATTTTAAAATATCTTTTTATATATAATAAAAGAAATAAATAATAAAATAACTTATTTATATAAATAGTAAAGAAACTATAGCCCTTAAACTAGTATTATACTTAAGCCTTAGTGCTCCTTACTAATTAGTTTCATAATATACTCTAATACTACCCTGAAGAGCTTGACTAATAGATCGCGATACATCGGAACTCAATACTCTGTCTTCTTTCCTCATCTTCGGGGCAGTCGGGATTGAAAAATGCACAATGAGGAACTATCTAGACGATTAATAAATCTTCCAGTGAATGCAGACATGTGGGCACTACGAACCTGGGCGGAAAGTATTATGCGAGTCTGCAATGTTGAAGACGAGTAGTTCGTTAGGACTTTGGTCTGATAAATAGCACCATTTTTGATTCGCGCTATACCCCATGATATAGCCTTCAATGAATCCATCGGCAAAAACCGAATCCATCTTGTGGAAATCTGTCTCCAATTCGGCGGTGCTTGCATCACAACAGGCAAGAGGCCAGTCTTTTAAAGGCCCCCGAAGTGGTTTCCACACGCTACAAACCTATGTTAGCCACGATCAGGTCCGTGAATTTGGGATACTTTGAGCCAAGGAGAAAGTTAAGTATACTTGAAAGCTTGGAGATGGATATCATCATTTAATTCTTCGCCAGTGAGCTCCTGGACAATATATCGCAGCTGGTCGGCAGTGTAATCTAACCAGTTTAGACAATATTTGGGCCATAGGTATGTAAAGGTGCAATCACCTACCAACATGAGCGACTTGGACAGGCTGTTCGTACTGGGAATTGTTGGCTTTCATCATCAGACCATCGTCTGAAGAATTAAATGCAGACCCTCGCTCTCTAATCTGGTCCCCCTTTGTAAATTGCGAGTCCTTGTCTGGAATATGGCTTGAACATACCACGGTCTCATGAAAGTAGACGCATCGGGCTCCTGTCAACTTTTTCAGTGCATCCCGAAGTTGAGGCCCAAAGATAGTTTTAACCTTGTTCCGGTCATAAAAATCTTCAGGTTGCATCTGGCAGTCAAGATCAAGAACAACGAATCCCTCTTTGTCGAACGAGAGGGATGACTTCATCGGCCGGATGTCATGGACTAGAGTCTTAGCACTAGTGAAAGGGGTATTGGATTGGTCGTTCCCGTCGTAGTCCAAATACATGAGCTGGAACAATTTCTCATTCTCATTGCTTTCATCACGTTTGACAAACTTGATAGTCGAGTAAACGTCCATGTTGGATGGTGTGAAGGAGATCATGGAATCCATACAGGGCCTATGTCATCACTGGGGAGTACTCGCAGTTATCTGCATCCCAAGGTTTATAAATACTAGATGAACACCCTGGACACCTCCGTGCTTGATTTTCTCGCCTACGAGTATGTATTATGCAATGTAAGCACCCCCACTTCCGAGATTTTGCCTCGTGAGGGGTAGCTTGGACCGGTTGCTTGATGTCCATTCAAGGCAACACTGAAGCTAATAGCTGACGAGTCTCATCCGCTGCCTGATATGCACTGTCTCCTCAAACACGTTGGAACCCCACTTCTGAGAACTCTCCGTATCAAGCGTGTCATGGGTTCAGCTCGCCGAACTTACGATGAACCAATATGTTATTTCATTGATAATTAGGCTAAATCGCGATTTCAAAAAGCTCCAATTTTATTTATCTTCACTATGATCCCACAATAATCCCTTAATCAGTGCCCTTGTGGGATTCTAGCATTCCGGTCACTGATCATTTCAAACTATATACGTACTCACCACCTGTCTTCGTTACATGGTTAGGGTAGTAAGAATTGATTTATGTGAAAATTGAAAGTCCGAAAGATCTCATTTAGCGTTTCTTCTTGCCTTCGCAGATCTACAAGATAGAATGGTTAATAGTAAATATAGCAAATAACCCGAACGCATCCATCACACCATGATCAGTTCTGAGTGGGCTTCCCCTCAGTTGTACTTCCGCTCTCAGATTTTTTCTCAGAATCTTCTTGGAGGACTTGCTTCAGCTCATCCGTGTCATCCAGTCGCCAGAGGTGCACACCCAAGCCATTCTCACGTGTAGTAGGGATGGCTCCCGTGCCACCCGGACCACTGTTGCTCGAGATTCTCTTAATCTCACATCTCGGTGGCCAAAACTCCTTCCATGGCTGCCGTTTAAGGTCAGGCAGCTGAGAGGGATGAGTCAATGGGCCTACTGGAGTTCTGTTCAGAAAAGGCTTGTAAGTAACACTCCACTGAGAGAGTTGGAAATTGACAATGAAGTCTAACAATACCCCTGCATTGTAAAGTACTTTGAGCTTAGATTGGGTTGTTGGTTATATGGTTTGGAAATATAGTCACGGTTTAGTTTGCGTAGAGATCTCGTTCTAATCGTAATGAGATGGCAGGATGTAGATTTATTTAGGCCCCAGGACTCATCCTATGCATTGTTTTCGATTGAGGACCGACCTCCCGATCCAGCTGTTTTCTCCGTTGACCCAACCGAGGGGGGCTGAGGGGTTGAGGATTGTAGGATTGCAGGGTTGCAGTGACGTGGCATGTTCGACTTCATTCGCTGGGAGTATGCACGTGAGCTGAATCCTGCCCAGGCGTGATCTCCGAGGGCGATATAATACGTCGTTATTGGTTTCGCGACGTTTTTTTATCACAAATGTGCCAATCTTAGCTACTTCAAGACCCTGCTAACGTGGTAGTTGCCCCCATTTCAACAGAGACCGTGGTAATGCCCACGCTAGCAAAGTGTGTGTTGGCGTCAGCAGCCTACATATCTTTCATGCATCGCAACACCAACAGTGTAATAATATGGGGCACACGAATGCCTTATGAGTGGGGGTTGAGTGAGGGGGCGCGCCACGTAGAATGGTCCGCATGGCCCGTCCTGTTCGCCTTGAATTGTGGGATGTTGCTATTCTATCGGTTGCTACTGTTCTTTCCTGTATAGCCATATTGATGCGCGGACGAGAGAGGGGATACTTGAATATCGAAACCTCGAATACGATATTCGAGTTAGCAACACTACCTAGTGAAGCACACCGTATCCTGGTAGCATGCTTCAACCACTGTTCCCTTCTATCTCTAGCTCCGGCTCTGGATACAATGTCAAGCATGTCTACCCCGTTCCTGAATGGCAACGGCATTAACTAATCAAACTCTAGTATTGTTGTTATCCCCGAGATATCTGGGCGCCCGTCGATATCATGGCGTATGGGGGGGCAAACTTGGTTTCAGGACTTTCTACCTAGTATCGAAGTTCGGGCTTGTGTTTTAGAGTTTGCTTACGAAATCGAACACCCGAGGGAATTTTCTTGGGCCAAATATCTAGAACATGGCAATGTCCTACTCGACGAGCTAGCCTCCAGCTATGCGAGCCTCGAGGTGCCACACCCTAGTACCCAGTCAGATCGCGAGATTATTGACTAACTGATCAGTTGCATAAACGATCACTAATATTCGTATGCCACGGTAACGGAGGTTTCATATGTAAACAGGTAACCTATTACTCGTATACGAAGGATTGGTCTAGTGACTGATTGCACGTATAGGCGCTTGTTCGTTTGATGGAACGCAATGACACGTCAGTCTTCCGCGAAATTATAGACTCTGTTCATGGAGCTATCTTCCTCGGCTGTCCACATCCCACGGTGAATAAGCTGGATCCATACAATAAGTTGAATCTCCTTCTCAAGACTTGCACAGGACTCTCAAACCAGCTTCTGCAGAGCTTACAGGGGGGAAATGTACTTGTCTCGAGGCTATCTAAGCGATTCGAGAGTCTACCAGTCCAACTCGACGTGATATCGGCTTACGAAACTGCACCAACCAAGACTTCCAGCGGCTTTTTTGGATCCAAATATGATGTTGTAAGTTTATAATTATCCATTGGACCATGCATGGCTAACAGTGCAATAGATTATAGATAGGGAAACTGCAGAGATAGGCGTTGTTGACGAGGAGTTGATATGTGTTGACGTCAGCCACTTCGACATTTGCGATGTCCCAGCAACGAGTTCCCTCCACCTTGCCATTGAAAAAATGCTGAAGGAAGTTCCCATGGCTCCTCCGCTTAGCACTTATGCCTTGTCACAGATAGGCAGGTTTTGCCCGACGTCCGTTGTTTTATGTTCTTATTAATAATATGTTTCAGATGCCATGAGCTACACTAAGTGGAAAGATACTGACTCGGAAATGGGGTTGAGGCTAGGAGGTGAGTGGATTCAAGCTCGTTCAGTGACTGACTGCCCAACTAAATATAAGTGAAGTTCAAAACAGTATCGGTCTAAGCGCCAGATCATCAAGCACTCCGTATGACTCACTTCGGGCGCGAGCAGGCTCTGATGATTTGTATTCGTACGAATTAGTGCCATCACCGACTCCACAGCCAGTCGAGGGCGGAGGACAGAATCTCAACCTCAAATGCCACTTATTTGGACCCCAGACCAGGAACGCAGATTTCTTTGGCCGCGACCAGATTTTTGACAAGATGGACGAGATCCTGATCCCAAGTCCCCCACAGTTTGAAGATGAGACCAATTCGCTGCGAACCTATGCGCTGACCGGGATGGGCGGCGTGGGGAAAACTCAAATCGCTGTCGAGTACGCATATTCGAGACGTAATCATTTCGAAGCCATCTTCTTCGTTTCGGCGGCTACCGGCGCCAAGCTTGCACAAGGATACTCGCACATTTCAACCAAGCTGGGACTCGAAGATAAGAAAAGCGCAGACGACCAAGTTGTCAGCAGGGATTTGGTTCTTCAATGGCTGTCCAATCCAGGTCGGACTCGACAGCACTCTGCTACTGAAACCAACAGCCAGGCTGTATCGTGGCTACTCATCTTGGACAACGCAGATGATTTGGCTGTGCTGGGGGACTACTGGCCAGTGACAGGACGTGGTTCTGTAATTATAACCAGTCGAGACCCGCTAGCTCTGACGAGGTCATATATACCCATATCACAGGGATTGACAGTCCAGCCCTTCTCAAATGAACAGGGAGCCGTTCTTTTGCGTCTTTTGACTGGATTTAACGCCTCAGAGGAGGATGTTGAATTATCCAACTCCATTACGCAACGTTTGGGTGGACTGCCCCTGGGTATTTCCCATATTGCGGGCATTGTTGTTCGGCGCGATCTGACCTTGGAAGAGCTCATCAAGCTCATAGAAGATGATGCGACACGCAAAGAGCTGTATAGTTCTAAAGAAGGCTTCAAGCAGAACGACTCTTACATGCAAAGCATATTGACGTCTCTCAACTTGGGAGATCTGACTGCGTCTGCGGCCTGCCTGCTAGATCTTCTGGCACTGATGGACCCCGACCAGATTTCGGAGGAGATATTGATGATTATTCAAGACAAGGCCCCGGACCAGACTTTTGTATGGCCGGAGGAATATCCATCGACATTTCAGTCCTACATAGAGGCTCGAAACCAGCTTACCCGGTCTTCATTTATCAGGCGAAACACACGAACAAAAGAAGTTACGATCCATAGACTAGTGCAGGACTCTGCTCGACTTAGGATGACTCCTGGCCGATTTTCGCAAATTCTGGACCTCGGTATTAATTTGCTTTATCAATCATGGCCATTTGGTATCAACGACTATAGTACAGATAGATGGACAGTGTGCGAGCCAATATTTCCTCACATCCAAGCTTTAATGGATGCTTATATCGGCCATCCACCTGCTGAGTTCAATCATACTTCGATAGAAAGGTTTGCACATCTACTATCAGATGCAGGATGGTACAGTGATTGATTCTATATCTGACCAGGATATTCGCTAAAAGTTAGAGCAGGTATTACTTAGAACGAGGATATCCTCTGCAGAGTTTGCCATTTCAGGAAGCAAGTCAAAGAATTCTCCAGTCCTTGCCAACGCCTAACTTGGTACGAGTATCTGAGACTGTGCATGCCCAGGCAGAAGTTCATATATACACAGCGAACTTCCAGATTGGTCTTGATTTTGCCAAGCAGGCGCTGGACCTTTGCATCGCAGCAGAGGCCAACAATAATAAACCGGGCCACCGCCTAGGGCAAGCCTATAACGAGATGGCAGAGGCGTTGGCGAATCTTCGAAGGTTGAAGGAGGCAATTGGATACTGCGACCAAGCAATCTCCACGTATCTTGAACAAGAAGGCCACTTCGAACACTTTGAGTCATCTACATTTGCAAGAGTGAACAAGGCGTTCTGCTTTTGGCAGCTCGACAGACTAGATGATGCGGCAGCAGAGCTCGCTGAGCTACTAGAATATCGTGCCAAGATGCACGGCAGCAATGATATTACCTCTTTCAAGTAAGTAGATCAATCCCCGTGGAGCGTTCTTCACAGTTCAGAGCCTGATTTTATGGTGACAGGACGGGACTCGCTCTCCTCACACTCGGCAATGTTCAAATCAGCCAAGGCCGATTGGAGGAGGCTGAGAGATCGCACTGGCTTGCTCGTGAACAATATCATCAGACTCTTGGTACGAACCACTATAGAGTAGCGGGCTTATCATACACGCTTGCTTCTCACCTCTTTCGCAATGAGAATTGGACCCGTGCGATGTAAGTATTTTGAAACTTTGTATATCCATCATGCAAGATTAAGTGATTAACCTCTTATCAGAGAACTCCTGGAGCACGCTGTCAAAGTGTTCTCGGATAAGCCTTTTTATAAGCCAGAGCTATCCAGAGTCCTCCTGAAACTCGTCGTAGCACTAGAACATGTCGGCGATGAAGCGTCCTTGGCTAGAGCGAGGGAAAAACTGGATGAGCTCTTCACGACTATGACTAAAGAATACGGGAGAGTGGTTGATGAACAAGTTCTAGAGGAAATAGTACAATACTGGGCTCTGTAGAAGTCTAATTTGTTACCCATCATGTTTCATGTAGATTTAATATTGCTATCCTTTTGTAGCATCAATCCTGTCGCGAGCCTAATTTGAGATATGTCACGTGCGATCTACATTGGTAACTTATATAAGAGGCATTCCAGTATGACCTATCTAGTTGGAAGAACTTAGATATTAATTTATCTATGAACCTACCCCTAGCTGCTAATACGCTATGATTTCCTTATGATTCTACTATCATCACGGCGACTCCTTTGCTCTCCTACGACACACCATTATCTTTGACAAAAGCGATTATCCAATCCAGGTTTTCAACGGCTGCATGAATCCAAGAATAGCCGATATTCCGAGCATCGGTGCGCAAATCGTAAAAAAAATCCAGATGCCGAGAGTTCCTGTGCCGAATTCTAAAAAATTCATCCCGAAGAATGAAGTCAAAAAAGATAATGGCACAAAAAAGAACGCAAGCCTGGTTAGCCTGCCGATTGTCTCGGCTTGGGCATACGCAGCTCTTGAGTCCATTATGGCCACTGTTCCTCTCAAATTGCCGATTCTGTCCTGGCACCGTCTAGAGAGCGTTGTTGCGCTTCGGAGCATATTTACAAATTCTCGGTTCAAGACGGAGAGTTTATGTTCACGCTGTTCCTTGGCCTCTTCCACTCCCACCCAGCGTAGTTGGGAGTAGTTTTCCAAAAAATCGACGATTTCAGCCAAGTATCCTATATGATCCTGGAGGATCTCTTGATGATGCAACATGGTGTCCAGAGTCTTTAACATCCAATCGTGGCCGAGCCATGGCCCATGATTCGCCATGCTTATGCGTGTCTTGACCATATTTAGGAACTGCTTCTCTGCTGTTATGGCGAAGAAGAAGAGGTCATGTACCGCAAGTAATGGGTCTACATCAGACTGAGGCTGGTCAATGGTCCGGCCCAGACACTTCAGACCCAGCAAGGATGCGCTCTGAATACTATTCTTTCGATCGCTTGCTTTCGGTGGTCTTGGTATCTCGAAGCCCTTTGAAGCTGCGTCGTCAAGAGCAGCACCTGGCAGTGCAGGAAGAACGGGGAGAAAAACTTCTTCCACGGGCGGATCTTTGTCGAACCACGGACCTTCATGACAATCTTCAAGATCTTTTCCATTGTCAACGAGGACGAGAACTGCCTCGTGGAAGTATGTTAGTATCTGCTTGATCCAAGTACAAGGTAGCACTATTCAACGTACCAAACCACCCTTGGCCTCGCCTTTTCACGGATATCGTGATATGTTGCTCAATGCTGAAGAGTTCTGGATCATGCCAGAAATAACTGCGAACAACTGAATCCCCGGCCTTTACATTCTTCCAGTACTGTTCTAGGGATTTCACAGCTGCAGCTGATGGGATGGTCGAGGCAGTACATCTGCCGATAGAAGGAATCTTAAGAGTGATGGTGTTTGATGCTATCCGAACAGAGGACGGCATGTCAAAGAATTCATCCTCTGTCCATGGCGGGGTCAAATATACACGAAATATTTCAGGGTCGATTTTGTACTTGGACCCAATCGTATTGACCCAGTCGGCCGACGGGTAACCCCGAACAAAGAGAACCAACCCGGAAGATGAACGTCCCTCCGGCGCCTCCCTCTCAAAGTCCCACAGGTCCTGAGGTCGGCCAAATGGTAATATTCGTTTGGTATCCTTAGGCTCCTGTGCAAGATCATGTAGCAATACAAATGGGTACTGAGTCTCGCTATCGAAGAGGTCATTCCGGCCTGCAGATTTCTGTTTCAACAGAAGGCTGAGGCGTAGGAAGTTGGCGCCGCAGAAGATATGCTTTTCTTTGGAGCGTGAAGCGTGCACACTGACAGCCTTGGCGTAGTCGCCAGGCTTGCGCTTCTTGCTGCTCATATCTCGTGTATTGACTCGACATACATTTCCTAAATGTGGTTCTTGGATTAATGCAGTGATACCCCGTCCTGCATATTAATATTCTCAATCGATCCCCTGAGAATAAACACGTGACTGTGGAAAGGAGCTGTCCCAGGGTTGCAGGGGTTAAAGAGTGCATCTTCCACCAACTAAATTTAAGAGGTGGATGGCACATTCTACAAACAGAACTATACCAAGCGCCGTAAAACACGCCAAGCTTATATAAATAGCTTAGTAGGAATACTAGGTGGTATCATTAAATACTTTACTATGTTGGCTGCTACTTACACTGATCAAAGACTCGGCAACAGTGGCCTCAAGATCCCCAAGTTGATCCTTGGATGAACGACCTCTGAATCAAGCAAATGGGAGGGCTCACCATGGGTACTTGACGAGGAAGAAAGCTTAAAAGTAATCAAGGCATCGTGCAATAATGGTATATATACTTGGGTGAGTAGTTACGAAGGAGAAGAGCTGATGGTGGATTGTAGTGTTCATCTCGGAGCAGGACATGGCGGACACGTACTCGAACGATAAGTCGGAAGAAATTGTGGCAAGGCGCTCAAGTGATTCAACATCCCCTGAAGCAAAGTGGTCATCATGACCAAGATTTACGACCTGGTGATGGATGGTGATTCTCGGCCACTTGGTGTCAATGACGGTGCTCTCGCTACTTGAATGGGTTTAAGCCCGGGCAAGTCTTTGCTGCTTTTGACGCAAGTTCGAAGCGGCTCGACATCGATTACATAGGATTATTGATGCTCCAAATTGACTCGGATGATATGGAAAACTGACACCGCCTTGACAGAAGTGTTGCAACTCCATCGGTTCGGTCGTGAAACACCGCCCGAGAAGATCATTCGCGCACTTCATGAAGTGGCGCAGAGCGGCAAGGTGAATTATATCGGAGCATCGAATACGTGGACGTGGGAGTTTTGCAAGATGAATGGCTGGACCGAGTTCAGTAATATGCATCATTGACGGGTGGGCAGTGCATTAAAGCTATTTGAAGTCTTAGCAAGATTCTTCTTAGAGGCTGTAGAGAGACGTAGAGGAGTAAGCAATTCGGAGAGAAGGAATGGCCCTAGTAAATTGACAGCCAACTGCTCTTTATGGTCTTGCGCCAACTTGTTCGCAATATTGTGGTTGCCATCGTTTCTCATCACTCCAGCGTTGAATAGTTGCTAAGAAGGTCTTGGCTACCGTACCGACTAACCGCAGATTGCAAGGTTTAATTTCGGGGGGACAAAAGCACCGTCTGAGCTGGGCTCGAATTCCTCGATATTCTAAATGGTATCATTCTCCTCCCGTGCAGCAAAGCAGACCTTAACTTTTTTTTTTTTTTTTTTTTTTTTTTTTGGCACAGAGATTGCGAGCCAGTTTTTTGCCAACTCCAGATGTTGCGTCAGTCACAATGTACACTTACCCACCATTTATGATAAAATCCAATCATCTGGACACATGAAAGGGACACATGAAAGGAACTGGAGCTACCTTGTCCGCCAAGTCGGGCACGCCTTTGTTGGTGAACTGGGGCCTGAGGGATAGCATTATCTGAAGAGACTGGCAAGCATCAGTGGCATTGTGTGCAAACAGCTGATGGAGATCGTTAATAAGAGTGTTAAGCCCTCATGTCGACACGAATAAGTCATTGTTGGTGAGGTAAGAGAGAGTGAGAGAGAATTGTAAAAGCCGATCTTCAAGCTCAAGTAGCCTTTGAGTTAGGCAAGATTGTGTGGTGGCCAGCAAATGCAGGGGGTGACCATTAGAATATAAGTCAGAGCGTCCGTGGCGTAATGGCATATCTACCTATAAGCAAAGCTAATCAGAAGTCCTAATGGTATTTTGGACAATGGGGAAGTTTAAAAGGTGATGGAGTTGCAGCTTCAGTGCCATGTTCAAGCTCAAACACTATCACTGAGTCAGATTTTCGTCATCTACGCAGTTAAATTATTACTCAATAAGTTAGCTGTTATGCCCTTCTATCCTAGAATTTCGTCTCTATTTGTTTTCGTTAGCTCGATGATGATCAGGCCGTTTTTGTGACCAGTTTGCCACTTACGTGTATGAATCTTCTGGCATCCTCATGCCATCATGAATGGAAAGTCCCATCAATCTCCCACCATCGACAGTCAACAAAGCATAATTCATGTAACCACCACCAGGACTCGAAAGCATTAGAACAGGCCCGACCATTTCTTCCGGACGCCCAGCACGCCCAGCCGTGCAACGCATCGCTGCTTTTGTTGCTTGGTTGTTAATGTTGTACTCGTGTTTTCCTGCAGTACTCCCAGTCATCTCTGATGGGAAAATTCCAGGGCAAATTGTATTGACTCGAATTTGCATCCTTCCGGTTTATAACCATTAGTCTCAGTCTGTAGAGTATCCGGGAGGGCTTATCATACGGGTGTAGTCTGCCTGCGAGAAGCTTTGCAAGATGGACAGCTATGAACTCATCAGCCTTTTGTCTTCCTGTCTCATTGTAGATGATATGGCCTTACTTGCTGCTTTGGATACACCATATGTGATTGAGCCCATGGATCTTCGGAGATCGAATTAGCCTCGATATCCTTGAATAATTGCAACGTACTGTTCTTACCTTTGGTTTCCAAGCGCAGCCAGCGATGCGATGACACATACGTTTGGGTCGGCAGACTTCCTCAAGAGTGGAATAAAGTTCACAGTTAAGAAATAAACTCCCATGACGTTTACTATAAAGTGAATTAGTTGGTTGCCATAGACCCAAAGCAACATTTTTGAAGTGGAGTCTTCAATGTCCACTCACTTTGATTGCTTCGATCAAAGTCCTCCCTATAGTTGGATCAGTATTTAAACTGTATCAATTTCAGGATGCTTTTTATCTTACTCTTCTACTCCGTTTATGAGTAGGTTTTCAACCTCGTCCGCTAGAAGCAAACATTAGCCGCTTGATCGACCCACCGGTCTTGTTCCACTCTATAGGCCGTAACATACCATTGTTATGATCATTGGCCTTGACTCTCCAGGGACTGTTCACTCCAGCACAGTTTATGAGTGTGTCGACCTACCGATGGCAGTTAGTGTGATGGTTGCAGAGAATCACATCTGGTGTAGTGTC